TTGGCATCATATATTGCACTGAAAAATATAGTTGTGAAACAGTTTCATGGATGACGTGTGTTTTGTAAATCAGGTGCAAAATAAAGTGGTTAAAACCCTATGTAACATGCCAGCATATATAATGACCACTCTCACCAACTTGAGCACACAATGGTAATGCATGGCAACAGCTTGCCAGATAAGCAGCCTTAAGGGTGTACTAGTTGTAATGGATGTAGGGTACAGTTTCAAAATTTGGATGGCAATTGTGTCAGACACAAATATGCATGATTTCATCATCCATACCCAGATCAAATTTGCCCTACCAGTTACCTCAATACCTATGCACCTGGATTGCTACCTTCCCATGGGCTTGTTCACAGAAAAGATGGGGATATGTTCCTTAAATTTTCAAAACTACAAAATTGTATCAATGATATTGAATAGAGCTAATGCATTAACAGCCCTGAATTTTTCCTAAATTTTGGCCCATATGTAGCCAATTTAACTTCCTGTGTAGGTACTATGTTTGGCATATTTCAGGTTCTGCCTGCTTCAGTTCAAAATCAAGGGCTGAGAATGCAGGCAAATTAGCAGGAGGTAATGGCCAGGACAGGTATTTTTGGAAAAAAAAAGCTGAACAATGTTATTACTGTAAAAGGAGTTATGACCAAATGATACCTGCTAACATAATAATGACAAGTAAAATTGTTATTGTTAAACAGCATTTATGGGCTACTTGGCATTTTGGACCACACCTAAGCATACCAATGATCTATATTCTGTATATGCATATATATATATATATATATAATATATATATTATATATATATATATATAATCATATTTTTGTTTCTATAAATCTGTATACATACCATATCAATTCATTTTATAACACAGACATTTAGGCAGTCACAATGTCTATGGCAGTTTACACAAATGCACCCACTTTACTGAACATGCATGCAGTATAAGAGCACTGAAGCTCATGTTTGCAAGCACCATATTCAGGCCAAGCCAAAGTGTGTTAACTTTACAACTTAACTTTGTGGAAAAATGCTTTTGGAGTATTTTTGTCTGCAATGACTCCACACCACCATAATTCTGGAAACATTGACTATGCTCAAAATTGGCAATGACCATGCACCGACTCTGAGTGCTTGGATTTACAGCATAATGCACTGGCATTGTTGATGCCATGCTGCTGATATGCCAGACATTGTCAGTGCAACATGTATTTTTCAGTCTGAGTCAAACCCACTTCCTCTGCCACACCTTGTGTCAATATGCCATACCTTGTGTGGTCAATTCTCTCACTAATTGCCCATTCACATTACGAAGAGCCCCATAACAGGTTTTATTGTTGGGGATTGACTGAAAGAGCAAAAATCAAATGTTACACGGCGTCACACAGTATGCTGTAAATTAAAGGTAACACAATAAATGCAAGTTGTGACAGTTAATTGAAATAATCTTACAACAAACTTCAACAGCAGCCTTTGATCAGAATCAATCAGTCAAATTCAAATACCCAGTAATGTCGCAGATACCTTCCCCGAACTTGCTCCAACCCTAATCCGCAAGATTTGACTTCTCAGCCTTTTTGCAAGAAGCCATGTAAGCCAACCACTGTTTTGTCATTACCGCGCCATAAAAGGGAGTATCCAACTACTAAATTATAAAAGTCACGAACCCGTAAATTTGAAAATAAATCTACAACTCTGGTGAAACTGTCCCTAACAAGCGACCTTTTCGCAAATAAACTAGTACGTTGTATCATTGGAAGTGACTGCAGTAAGCTCCAAGCATCCCTGCAAGCTTTCACTGCCTAGAACGCTTAACACACTACGTAGGTCAAATCCGTGTTGAAATGCAGTTTCTGGTGTGGGTTTCGGACATCACGGATTTTAGCTTTTCATTCCCACAGGATAAATCATGAAGCTTTCAACAAGCTCGCGGGAAAGTCCAGGAATGACTTGGATGATTTAGTTTTCGTTACGACTTCCATGGCGTAACCACACCCCAAAATATGGGACGTTTCATCTCTCTTTTGAAACCATTCTTCATGATCAAGGCCGTCGAAATATAGACCAAATTCAATCTCCCAAAAGTACTGTGGTCCATGCGGTCCGAACGGCCACTAAACAAACACCAGTGGTGCAAGGCAATACAGCCAGTGCCGTTTAAGCCGATGGCAGGGCTGTAAGGTCGTACAATTTTCCAACGTTGGCAGGGCATTGGGTCCTACTCTAGCACTACCATGCCAATGCTTCAATTAAAATGACAGCTATTTCATATCGAAAATACCACACATTTCAAAACTGTTTACGAAATATACTCCATAACATAGCACGACCTTGAGATAGTGGCGGCACCAAAACATAGCGGCATCCCGTAAACTACCATCTACGTCGCACTATCGTAATCGCAACATCGAGGGGGAGTTGTATTGTGGCCTTGAATCCTCAGAACCGTTACTAGAAACCTTCACTCAGCTGTTCAAGTCATGAGCACGTCTGAGGACGACATATATGATAGTTTCTTACAAATAAGTTGTTAACAAAATCAATGAATTAGTCAAAACATTAGTATAAATAATATTTTGTGCTTAGTTGGATCAAAATTGTATACTCCGCCGCAAATAATTAGAACTTCAAAGATTCTCATGAGCTATTTCGTGCAACAGCTGATGCCTTGTGCTGAGGTAGAACCCCGAAGCTTGAACATCGTCCATGTTCTTTGTTTTTGTGCGCAGCGGAAGTGGATCGTGAGGGGCGGGCGTCTGGGCGGGAGGTTTCGGTAGCAGCGGGTGGGTGAAGTTCGGGTACATTTTTGCTTGTTGAGGCTGAAGCTGTGTTATCTTTGGGCTTGACTACGTATCTTTAGTTTGGTTGATCTACGGCTTACGGTCTGCGCTTGTGTCGGGACTCGTCCCGACGTGAAGGCCCCCGGAGCCACACGTGTCGACCATATTTACGACCTGGTTACTACCTGCCAGGCGTGTAACTTCTCCATATCGCAGGAAAAAAAACGTTTGCAAGTAAGTGTAATGGCAGACGTCTTCGTGTCTTGGTACATGCATTGCACTGCTCTGCTTAATGAAATCGTGTGCCCAAGCAAACATGACCTTGAAGTCAAGGCCCATTTTGTTTATGATCACTGTCCAGTTCATGCATACATTTCACCAGTTTTTCCGAACCAGGCACAAGCCACATTTCTTTCACAAGGTATGGTGATTCATTTTAGGCATGGTATGTCAATCAATTTCAAAGTTGTCTGTTTGTGGAAGATTAAAGGTATGATGTGATGTGTTGAGCTGTTGACATGCTTATTTGGGCTTACCTTTCATTTCAGGAGTAGCTGTATTGAAAGGTGTTGTTGTTGGATACACATCCAGTTGCTGAGTATTTGTTGAGCTTCAGCTGGTAAAGGCATGGAGGCCAACAGCATCCAAAATAGTGCTAGTGCCACTGTCAATGGTAGTATAACTGCAAGTAACGTAAAAAGATTGACAGAAGCAATCTCGCTTCAAGAACAAGCTCGTGCCCAGGCAAAGGCAAATTCCAAGAGACTTGAGGTCAATCTCCATATCAGAGCCAGAGCCAACAAGGTCACAAGCCCAAATTTTCAAAGAACAGCAGGAGATCCAGGAGTGGGTTTGGAAGAGGACTTCCAAAGAAGGGTATGTTAGTAAAGTGCTTGTTTATGCATACAATGAAATATAGCAATTGAAACTGATATAGCAACTGCATTATGATAGAAAACAGTAAACTCTGAGCATGTGTTTGTATATATATATATATATATATATATATATATATATATATATATATATATATATATATATAATGTACATGTAAGCAATGCAAAGGCTACTGTTGAATCACTTCTTTGAGTTACTACATTGTATTAATTTTCCAGGAGGAGCTGGAGGAAAAGGTGTCTGGGGGAAGCCTGGTTCAGAGCTGGAGGAGCAGGGTGACATAGTTGACTCCCATGATCCCAACTATGACTCTGAGTCCATGGATGAAGATGTGCAGTTGAAGCCAGTTCCTGTGGAACTTACGGAGGATGAAGTCAAGGTAGGCAGATAGCTGTGAGATAGATGTTCCAAAAACACCATTATTTCTTGGTTGAATATGGCAGATCTGAAACTATGTGCCAAAGAGTCTGTGTAATGCTGTTTGTCATTATATAGAAAAGAATTTGAATAATATGGCAGTATTTCAGCCGAAGCTGCTTCATCTGGGCATTTGCATCCTGAAGTACAGGATGCAAAATTGGTTTTGTATCTCATGGCTGTGGCACATAAACCTAGTTGATGTTTGAACACAGAAGTATTAAGGAGAGGATTGGTAGTGGTTTTTGACAATGCTCAGCTTTGCATGAAGCTCTGGTTAAAAGAAAACTCCATTTTGACACTTCCATCACTCAGTTTTGTGTCATGTGTCTTTGAAATGGAGTTTGACTTTTGATGTGATGTGATGTTTTTGATGTGATGTGTTTTGTTTTGTGATGTTGATGTGATGTGATGTTTGGTGTAGTATCCAATCATCACTGAGGGCACATGGTGTGCAGAGGTTGACAAAACATAGTGCAAAATGCATTTTTCCACTGAGTTAGCATGTGCTAAAGCTGGGATATTCATAAGTTGGTTAATGACAATGAAATAACATTGGTAGAGAGGAGTGCATAGGATGGATTTGATTTTGTAGTCAAGCAGGATGTGTGGAAGGCTGCTTGAGGTGTATGGTGTGCTGGTCAGAAAACCAGCTGTAGAGGAATCAAAAGAAATATCATGCCCTTCTCCTCTAGTAAAATATGCATCTTTAACAGATATGGGGCTGAAGCTGGATTCAGCTTTGACTCTGCAAAAGTACAGATTTCTTCTAATGACTTTGTGTTGGACTTTGGGTCTCAAGAGACTCTTCACACCTGTCTGCAGCATCAGCTTTAACTTTGTGCTATGCAGAACCATTTGCTTGGGCATTCTTGGCCTATCGTTCTTAAAAGCTGGCTTTGGCTTCAAAGTAATTATCATTTTGGTGATCATCCAAGGAGATTCTTCATTTGTGTTCAGCTGGTCCAGAACTTATCCTCCAGATTTGTCTCCCATACACTATGCACAGCCAGCAGTCATAGGTATGGCAAAAACAGATTCTCTGTCTAGACTATGCCCTGAAAGTTGTCTGGGATTCTTTCTGGTACAGAAAATTATGTGAGGTAATTTCTCGTGTTCGCAGTTCTGGATACTATTCCTTAAAGTTTTTTTAACCCTCTGAATAATTTTCCGAGACTATCCGCCCGCCGAACGCGCCCGAGATCGTGCCTGTTTTCCTGTGTCAAAATGATTTTGCCACCACTTTTGGAGGCAGTGGGAGGAAAAGGCATGAAAGCTAAAAACTAGCTGGTCATTCTCAGGCGCAATCAGCACCTCATGATGACAGCAGAAGCATCTGCAATGTGTACAAATCAGTACAATCATTGGGGGGGGGGGTCTAGCCGAAATATTTCATCACTATGTAAAACTCTGATGATTCGTCTTGGTAATGTTTGCAATTTCTGATCGTGTTTGCAGACACCAAAATGGTTCTGTCTGCACAAAAAGTGTTCTACAGTATATTTTCATTCAGGCTCGGCCTCATGCTCCTGTTCACATTTGGCTGAAACTTCTTATGCTCGAAACTCATTGTTTTTGTGTGCCCAAAGCCTGCCTTTGGACCAGGCTATGTGCTTAAAAATGTGAAGCCACTAGTTTAGGGCTTCATCCATTGCAGTTCCAGACTTTCCGTGCCACTGGCTTTGGTTTGACTTTGTTTGGCACCACTGTCTCGCATCGATTTGGTGTGAAAATGAGAAGCCTGGGTTTGTTCTCATATCTGATCGCTAGACCTAGTCGCCCTATCACAACATCACGGACATAAACGCAACTGACGCGGCGAGTGCTTCACAAGACCGCGAGGCGTCTCACAGATACCAACTGATGTGGCAGTCGCCGTTGCCGTGTGCTCCGTGGCCGAGCCTGGACCTCGAGGGGTGGGCCGCCATGACGACTCCAGCTCTGACGCCGCTCGCGCTGCCTGCTGCAGAAGCTGACCGAGACGCTGGTGCTCGAGTACTTCGACCATGGCGACACGGCCGAGGTGGACGCGGCGCTGACGGAGCACTGGGCCAGCTTCAACATCAAGATCCGCTACCTCGTAAGTGAGGAGAGAGAGAGAGAGAGAGAGAGAGAGAGAGAGAGAGAGAGAGAGAGAGAGAGAGAGAGAGAGAGAGAGAGAGAGAGAGAGAGAGAGGAGAGAGAGAGAGAGGGAGAAGAGGAAGAGGCGGAAGGGAGAAAGGAGAGGAGGGGGGAGAGAGGAGAGAGAGAGGAGGAGAGAGAGAGAGAGAGAGAGAGAGAGAGAGAGAGAGAGGAGAGAGGAGAGAGAGAGAGAGAGAGGAGAAGAGAGAAGAGGAGAGAGAGAGGAGAGAAGAGAGAGAGAGAGAGAGAGAGAGAGAGGAGAGAGAGAGAGGGAGAGAGAGAGAGAAAGAGAGAGAAGAGAGGAGAGAGAGAGAGAGAGAGAGAGAGCGAGCAGAGAGTAGAGAGAGAGAGATAGAGAGAGAGAGAGAGAGAGAAGAGGGGTAGGAGGAGAGAGAGAGGGGGGGGGGTGGGAAGTGGACGAGGGAGAGGGAGAGGGAGAGAGGGAGAGAGGGAGAGGATGTCGTCAGTGCAGCTCTGGTGCGTGTGCGTGAGTTACGCGTATGCCGCGTGCATGGGACGGCGTCTATGTGCGATGCGCGGTGGCCGGGACCGCTGTCAGCCGGCGCACGCGTGCGCGATGGGATGTCCGGTTGATGGTGACGCGCTGCGACAGGTGGTGGTCGCCATGGTGGAGGTGGCCATGGACCACAAGCCGTCGCACCGCGAGATGACCTCCGTGCTGCTGTCGGACCTCTACCAGGAGTGTCTGACACAGACCGACATCTGTCGCGGTACGTGATTGCGCGATCGCGGTGCGGGCCCTCGGGCCTTACCGAGGCTCTCCCGATGCCCGCGCCTAATAGTAAAGTATCCGAGCTGATGGCATCAGTACAAGGAAATACTGACCTTCAGCTTAATGGTGCGTTAAATTCTAAGAAACTGTGGTTGAGTTTCAGTTGTTGAGCGGCATTGCCAGTGTGCATGTTCTCAAAGTAGGAACACTTTTATTGATTCGCACAGGTTTCTCGTGCGATCGGGGCCAGCAATCAGCTATCAATGTCCGGCGAAATTGTCAGCTTTCTCCGCGTCCCCGATTTTATTTGTATCGTTGCGTTGGGCTCAGTAAGGGCGTTTGTTGGTGCAAACTTTAAGACGTGCCACCGCCCAGAGCCGCGGGCTGCCCGGCCGTGAACCAGTTCAAGTCGCTTTAAAACGGCTGAACGCAAAACAAATGTTTTAAACCGTAGTTACCCTGACAGTCAAACCTTTGGCTGGGACGCCGAACAATGCCGGTAACGAAAGGTTGTGAAGTGATGCAATTCCCGTGCACATCTACACAGGTTATTGTCTTTTGGGTAGATTATCTTAGATTGGCTCACAATGCGTGGGACAGAGTTTCCTTTTCCTGTGCAAGACTGTTGTCATTGCCTGAGTAGGGATTGGGTAAGATGTTTAACGTCAGCAGACATGCTGAATATCATATTGGTGTTTGTTTTAATGAGATGTGTCATAAAATTAAACGCTTTGCCATACCGTGACTGGTTGCGTCATTACGTCATATTGGCGCACACCACGGTAAAAGCGGTGTGTTCGTCTGCTGTGATGCCGTTGCTCTCGGCTCCGGACGACGCTCGGGCGCCCATTCATCTTCCCCTCTCCACTGACGGGTGCCGCTCTCAGGCTTTGACGCGCTGCTCGCCTCGCTGCCCGACCTGGTGCTGGACTGTCCGGAGGCGTCCGACATCCTGGGAAACTTCATGGCCCGCTGCGTGGCCGACGACTGTCTGCCGCCCAAGTACCTGTCCAGCCACAAGGGCAGGGTGGAGTGTCGGCACGCCATGTGAGTGGCGGCGGCCGGGCTGTCTCCGGCCGCCGGGCGTCGCGTGTTCGCTCAACAGTGACGCCGAGTGACGTCAGCGGTTCGGGCCGGTTGAGTGGTCGTGTTGTGGCTGCGATAATGACGAGTTGTCTGCCGTGTTGACTCACGTTTTGGAAAGCAGGTGGTAAAGTCGTATGGAAACCCCTTTGGCTGGCCGCGGTTGAATTGGGCTGTCCTTGCTCGTTGCCGCGTGGCATGCCACCGGTTTTGCGTGTGGGCTGTTCCGCTGCAGTTTGGCGACCGGCAGAGATAGCGCATTGTTGTCGCGTTTTATTGTCATATCCGCTACACACTGTGGACGAATGTGGTATTTCATAAAGTCAGCTGCCCTTCAAAGCCAGGTGTGATAGTTTATGACGCTTGTAACGTCGCAGTCGACCGTGTTGATGAACAGCGTCATGTTGATCTGGCTGCAGCAAGGCGCTGGACCGTGCCGACCTGCTCATGAGCGTCAAGCACGGGATGGTGCGCCTGGACAACGTGTGGGGCACGGGCGGGCCGCGCCGCCCCGTCCGCTACCTGGTCAAGCAGATGATCCTGCTGCTGAAGGAGTTCCTCAGCTCCAGCGACGTGGAAGAGGCCATCCGGTGAGTGCGGCCGCTCGCCGGCGCGGTGCCGGTGTCGGTTCGCGGCAGGCATGGCCCCGGCGCTGTGGCCGGGGCAGCCGGCTGCCGCGGCGTTGTCAAGACGTGTGCGGGTGTGTTGGCCGTAGACGCGCAGTGGACGCTGCGATCACGTGATGGCGCTGCGCTCAACCCACTGCGGTGCCCACGCCGGGGTGTGCTGCGCTTTTGCTTGTCGTGCCTCACCCCGTGGCTGTGCCGTCGACCGGGGCAGGTGTCTGAAGGAGCTGGAGGTGCCGCACTTCCACCACGAGCTGGTGTACGAGGCGGTCACCATGGCCATTGAGCGTTCCGACACCAGGTCCATCCAGGAGATGGTGCGCCTGCTCAAGACCATGTACGGCGCTTGCGTGCTCACCACCAACCAGATGGACGAGGTGGGTCCTCTGGTGCAGATACGACGGTCCGCCGCTTCACCGGCAGAGCTCAGTGACTGGTGATCAGCGCATTGCTGCGGAATGATGTCATAATGGTCAGCAAGTCAAGGCTCAGAAACTGAACACTAGACATGTGATGCATGCTGATTTTTTTATCAGCAAAAAAGCACATGCCCGCGTGGGATGTCTCACATTTCCCATTTGTCATTTGCTGTGAAGCGTGTGCAGATCCGGTGTTCGCGAGCACTGCTATCCGTGCGTTCTCCTTTCCTCAGCAAAGCAGTTCGTGAGCCACCCTTCGGTAGCGATGCCTTCCCCTGGGCCTTAACCGCTCTGGGCAGCGGGACCCCTGGCGCCGTTTCTGGCCTCGTGACATGGCTTCCGGCGAGCCCGCGCCGCTCCCTTCAGCGTGGCTGGGAAGAGGCGTGTCCAGGAACTCCTGCGCGTGTACGCCCCTCCCATCGCTGACGCCGCCGTCGCCGACCGCAGGGCTTCCTGCGCGTCTACGACGCCATGCCGGACACACAGCTGGACGTGCCGGACGCCTACGGCCTGCTGGAGCTCATCGTCACGCTGGCCTTCCAGAAGGGCATCATCTCGCGCGACACCATGCGCCGCATGCCGACCAAGTGAGCGTGGCACGGGGGAGAGGCGGAGGAGCGCGGTGGAAGCCGGGCTAGGGCCAGGACCGGGTCTGGACGCGGCTGGAGCCGTGTCACGAGCGGGGGTCGCGCCGGGGCGGGGGCGTGCTCCCTTACTGGTGTCTGATTGTGGTGGCGTCCTGACGGCGTGCTGTCTCCCGGCTGTAGGTAACGCTTGCCTGGCGTGTCCGGCCTGACGCGCCGCCAGCCGCGCGCCGCTCACTGCCGCTTCATGTTCGCAGGGGCCGCAAGCGGTTCGTCTCGGAGGGCGACGGGGGACGCATCAAGGCGCGCGAGCTGCCCGGCCTCGCCTACTGAGCGAGCCGGCGGCCGGCCCGACCGGCGCCGGCGCGCGCGTGTAGGTGTGGCGGGCGAGCGGGCCGCGCGCCAGATCCCGTGGCGGTGCGCGGTCGATCAGGACGCTGGGCGGCGCCGCGACGCGTCCGGCGAGCCCCCGCCCTCCTCCGGTGTTGTGCCGCTCGCGCCCGGCCGTCCTCAGCGCCGTAATGTTGTGTGTGTGTCTCTCTCTATATTTCTCTCTCCCTCTACCTCCACTAGACGTGCGAGAGCCTGCGTGTGGCCTGCGGTCGCGACTGGCGGACAGGGACGAGTGTGGCTGTGGAGCGGGACCCGCTGCGGGTGATTTTCGCGTGCTGCGGACGCCGTCAGACTGTGTGACTTGTTCGCGGGTGGGACTGCTGAGACGTGTGACGGCGCGAGCGTGGCTGAGGTGGCCTCTTCCACTGACGTTTAATTACCTCCGGCCGGGGCGCGAGCCACAGCGCTGGTTTGGCAGACGCTCATTTTCAATGACAGACGAGATGGCCGACGAGCTGACAGACCGGACTGCCGTGGGAGCACCTGAGCGACGTGGTGCCTGTCTGGACCAACCGTGTGATCAGAAAATGCGTGATGAAGTGGTGCGCGCTCTGCCGCAGAGCTGTGATTTCAGTGTGGGTGGGTGGGTGGGTGGATGGGGAGAGGTGTGATATGATCGATGACCGCCTACGTTTGACCGAGAACCGTGACCGCTGGTGGACTGACGCCTCATCAGGTCAGTGTCGCCTGGCGCCCGTCCGCGGCGGCTGCCGGCCGGGACCAACCGCGCCCGTCCGCTGGGAACGGTGCCTGACCGGGGTCCGGCGGGCCACGGCCGCTGCGGGCGGCGCCGCGCCGCCCTGACCTTGACGGAGACTGGGGGCACGTGCTGTGTGCGAGTGCCTGCGTTCTGCGTGGAGGCGAGAAGTACAAACGTTTGGTTCGTGACGTCACTGTTCACCCGAGACAATTAGATATACGTGCCGTGGCGCCTGGCCTGACTTTCCGACCCGTTTCTGCCACTCGGCGTTCGGTTATCGATGGATCCTGCGCGTCTGTTACTTGTTGGCTGCTCAAGCCCCTCGCCCCGGGCTCGGTGCAGCGACCGTCCCTTAGCGCTTCGTCATTGCTGCTGTGAGAAGAAGCTGGGTATTCTTGACGCGTGGGATTTTTGTCATAAAACGGCTCGTCTCGGGTTGGGCTGGGGGCCTCGGTCTCTGCTTGTGGGTTGCGCGGTGACGGTCCGTTAGTGGGCCGTTCGTGGGTCGCGGTTTATCGGCTAGTGCTAGTCCTGCTCGAGACTTCCTCGAGGGTTTCCTCATTGTCGACCATCTAGATCTTAGCTGTTTGATAAGTATTTCCTCTATCGGTGTCAGAGTTGAATTGTAGGGTATTTTCTGTATGTTGTGTTAAGTCAGCCGTTCGGCGTGTCTCGCCGCTCCACGTGTGATGCGTGATTCTGTCGTGGCCGCCTGCTGGTATTAAGTGACCGAAATACATGACTGAGCCCCACATGCCAATTATGGGCAGGTGCCGAACCTGCATCTAGCAACGAATGTGTGACGAGAAGAAACCAATGCAGGCGTGGCATTGCTTAACGTGGGGCTGACGGCTGCAGCACACGGTTGTGGTGTAGAGGGCATTTTTTTTTTTAAAAATGTTACGTCACACCACATTTAAGCTGCCTTCTTTTTCGGTAACAGTCTAGGTACTCGAATGCATGCTTCCGTAATGAGGTTAAGTGTCACGTGTCACGAGAGAAATGGTTGCGAGACAGTTGTTATATTTGGGGGACAAGGACAATGGTGGTGTGGGGGTCGACGAATTGATTATCCTGTTGGTGCGTTCATAGTAGATAAGCCACGGAGAACACGCATTTTACTTTAAAGTCGAGGGGAGTAAAGCTTTCTCTAAACTGAGAAAGATACGGCCACCCTTCCGCGCCGACCACAATGTAAACAACGTGCATTCTTGACGGGGTAATGTCGAAATCCAAGGTTGACAGCGCCCCCTTCCTTCGTGCGTAGTGTAGCCCCATGAAGTCAGCTGACTTGTCAGCAGCTGATGGGAGCGGCCCGTTCGTGACATATGCACCGCGTTGCGGCGTAAGCGCCACGCAGCGGTTTTATCGCACGCTAGGCCTGTTACGGCGCCGTGCCCCGTGCTGCATTCAGGTTTGGGGCGTCTGGTCCGGACCGCGCGGGATCGGGTCCGTATTTTATGTATGAAGGTTGAAAAGGTAATAAGGCATGAATTCAGAGTTACTTTGAGTACTCTTCGTGGTCGCTTGCACTGGAGATGGGACAAGGGTAAACCGCATTAACTTCGCTGGCTTGAGATGTCGGGATCGTCGGCTCCGGGTGATGGACTGGCTGGTGCTTGACCTACTGAAGATGGTTTATTTTTATATGAACATTGTAGTAAATGGAAAGTATATACCAGGCTGAGCAAAGATAATGGATTCTTTTTAGACCTTCCGATTTTTGTAGAGCATGACATTTATGACAGTAGGCATGTTTACCCATGAGGCCAATTTGGAACGAAGATGTATATAGGCTTATACATTGGAGGAAGTGTAATAAATGTTGTTGCACAATATCATTGTTTCTAAATTTTGAAAGTGATGATTATGCAATGATAGCATTCACAATTCACTCATCAGCTGCTTTGTCAGCTGCTCAGCTGCTACTTTTGTGAGGGCATGATTCAGGTTCGGCATATGTAAAGTAGGGATTTGGTACTGTGGATGGAGTTCTCACAGGCTGGCTTGGAGGCTTGCAACATCCCATGTTCCCTACCCCAGCCTGCACCAGCCCACAAAACATGGCAGATTGCAATGAGATCTTGTTGGGTTGGTATTGAAGCAAGAATTAATATTTTTAGTACATTTTGGGTATCCTAGAGCAGCAATTCTTCAATTAGGGTAGCTCACCTTATTCTTGGGAAGCACATGATCCCTTGACACAGGTATTGGGCTGGATTGGATGATGTGTGGAACAGAAAAATGCATACCATGTTTGTTTTATTTGTCAGTTGTCCATTGCTCCCATATTATCTTGTACAGCCTTGGGTGTGACAGCCTTAGCAGCATTCCTTTAGCCAGAGATGTACCAATTAAATTGAAGTGCTTGGACCAAAATTTGTCACATGATCAAAGCATCTTTCTTGTGATCTCTGCTTTTTGTGCTCAATAGGCAGACCAGTTGAAAAACATCTGTATGATGCTGCTCAGCAGTTAATGTGAAGTACCTCTTTCAGACCATTAGATTTTACTGTTTGTATTTCAATATGTTCAATATATTTCTAATTGCTAAAAATTTTGTAAGTAAAGATGGAATGCAAATTGTTGGATGATAAATTCAGTGCCATTTGACTCTGGGTACCTTGATCAGTAGGGGTAATGAAAAGCCAGGAGTTGTGAATAAGATTGTAGAGACAATCTTGGGAACCCCGTGGTCATCAGATTATCTGGGCTCCTGCCCCCAACAGATAAATTGACCGCCCTATTTGGGGTAGAGTTGGACGTGCCCGAAGTATCTTGATAACTGGTCTGACACCTTTGCAACCTGGCTGATCTTCACTGTCAACACTGGAAACTGGCATGCATGGCAGCATGCTATGCTGAATGTAGCCAGGAAGCTGATGTTGGCTGTTGTGTTTTGTCATAGCATCTCTGTGGATTTCATTTTACTGTTTATTATTTAGTAAGATATTGATTATCATGTTAAGGTGAGACCAAAAAGGCTGAGCTGGGATTGGCCAGCCTGATGAATGGCTGGCCAATGAGCCTATTAAAAAGACTGACTTAAGAGATGACCTAGCCTAGCTCAGTCTAGTCTGGCCCAACCAAACTCATCTGGTTCTGTGTGGTCCTCTGCAATATTTAATAGTTTGGTAGTTTAGGAGGAGTAACCTTTACTTTCTCATGCCACCACAGAATGCAGCAACTGGTGACAGCTTGTTACCAGCTGGCATCAGCATTCTTTGTTGCATCATCAGCTGCTTTATGCGACTGAGCATGCCAGGTTGTACCATGGGAGATGGATTATAATCCAATTCAGGATACAATTTAGGATATTAGGCAGTTTGATATATTGCATGCAAGGTGTTATTTTGCAGTTAATAATGTTTTTTGCAGCAACTTTATGTTGGTAATGTCCTGCTTGCGACATTGTGGTTTCAAGAGGTTTCATATGGTGACAAGTCTCAAGTGAATTAAGATATTTTTTAACATGCCTGCAGTCATTGTGGTATGGTTAGATAGCTCCTGTTGTTAAGAAATTCATGAAAACAGAAAGATTGAATTTGAAGATGGTTAAGTTTTCATTGTATTTTATGCCAAATCTTGCTCTATTTGGATCATATTTTCATGTTATTGAACCAATTTAACTGAAAATATTTTGTGAACCTGCAAACCACTTACCTGTGAAAAAGATCATTAAATTTGTTGGAGGCTCATTAGTTGTACTTAGCAATGCTCGACCAGGAATTTAAATTGCACAGAGCCTGACAGTTTGCTGACCAATCAGATGTGCTGTTCCCTGCCGAATACTGTGTTTTTGATGTGTTGTTAACTACAATGTATTTTGCTTTACCACTACTTTCTTGTTTCAGGCTGCAAGCTCAGGGTACCTGTGTATGGTCTCAAGATGGGGAAATTTCTCTCCAAGATATTTGGCAACAAGGAAATACGAATTTTGATGCTGGGACTGGATGCCTCTGGAAAAACCAGTATCCTTTGTAGCATGAGTTTATGTGCATGATTCATAATCATTAGAGTGGTAGGGAGGTGCAATAAGGTGGCTTATCTTCCTCTGTGCCCTGTTTCCAACCCATGCCAAGGTGTGCACATGCTTAATTCACCAAGTAGTGTATTCTGCTCATAGTGGCATGCCCTGAGATTGTACTCAAAGACAAATGAGGTCATTTTCAAACAGGAGGTGTTTTGCCTTCTGACAACTATGGTGGGGCTTTGTTAATGTTTGAAGATCATTTTCTGTGGGGGACAGAGTATGCTTTGAGGCGTGTTTATTGTGTGCACTCGGCTTTAAAGAGGACATTTTCACATTGTCTTCTTAGATGATTGCTTGCTTCCATCAGCTCCACACTTTCAGAGGCTCTGTGTCTGTTGTAATCCCCAAGATCTCCTTGACAAATCATTTTCAGCAATCCTTTACAAGCTTAAATTGGGCCAGTCGGTTACGACAATACCTACGGTGGGATTCAACGTGGAAACGGTGTCATACAAGAACGTCAAGTTCAACGTTTGGGTATGTGGAATGCCGCTATCATCTATTCTGCTGCCCTTCTTTGCCTAGTATCTTGACTTTGTTGTTAAAGTCACAGTGACAGTCACAGTCACAGTCACTGACTTTGTTTATCGACCATGAGCCATGTGAGACGCGCATCTGTTCATTGATATGGTCTGTGACTGGCTTTTCGGTGGTTTCGAAAAGTTTTTCGGTGGCTTTCGATGGGCACTGCTTGCTGGAAATGAGGATGTTTTATGTTAACGTTCCTTTGCTGTATGGCGGCTGAGCTGCGGGCGCCCAAGGTGAGTTCATCGGGGTGCTGTGTGCTGGAGAAACACTACCAACTCTCGCACAGCCTGGCCAGATAAGGGTCGCTCAGCTGCCGACTCAGATCTCCAGAGCACCGAGAACTTCCCGCTCAGTTCCCCGCTGCTATCCAGAGTTAAAACCCCACATGTTTATTTTTGGTCTATTGTTTTTCATGCCATTTGATTGATGTTCTCGAACTGAATTCGGTTATTTTAATTATTGGTTGAAACTTTCACAAGCTTTTAGCTAAAGAAAGGGCTAACAGTGTGTGAAAATTTCAACTGATGGTTTAAATAACCGAATTCAGCTCGAAGACAGACCAAGTGACATCAAACACTCAAAATGGCCAAAACTGAACATTTGGTGTTTTGCCTTTGGACGGCAGGCCAGATCACCGGTGACTGCCAGCTGCGTGCGGACGTCCATCACGGGTGTGCCTGGGACCGCGATGTGCGGCGGTTAACGCGTGCCCTGGCGGCCGGCGCTGCTGACCTGGTCCGCCCGTCGGCAGGACGTGGGCGGCCAGGACAAGATCCGGCCGCTCTGGCGGCACTACTACACCGGCACGCACGGCCTCATCTTCGTGGTGGACTGCGCCGACCGCGACCGCATCGATGAGGCGCGTCAGGAGCTGCACCGCATCATCAACGACAGAGAGATGCGACACGCCATCGTCCTGGTGTTCGCCAACAAACAGGACCTGCCAGACGGTGAGCGGCGGCCGGGCAGGGGACGCGCTGCGTGGCCGGTTAGAGGGCGCGGCGCTGGGAGGGTGCGTGGGGGCGTGCGCCAGACAGCTGGACAGGGGGCGAGCTGCGCGGCCGGGTAGGGGGCGCGCGTTGAGAGGCTGGGGCAGGGGCGTGCACTGGGCAGCCCCGGGCAGGGGCGTTTTTGTATGCCACGTGGCGGTCTGGTCCATCTGATTTAGCTTTTTGGAGTGGCATGCAATATTTGTATTGGGGGGGGGGGGGTCTGCTTATGCGTAGCGCCATCGCAGGCGCTGATTCTAAGAACCACCGCCCTGCCTTGTCGGCGTCGTCTCTTTTGGCAGCTGCCGGTAATCGTCAGTGTGCTTGTTATTCGATGCAATTGATTGTCTATTGCTGATGCGGGAAGTCCTTTGTCACTGTTGGTGTGTCTCAGTCTTGTTTTGCCGCCACTGTTGTCGCTGCTCCCGTCTGTTCTCCCTCCCTCCTAGACCATGTTGTCCCCCCCCCCCCCCTGTTCGTCAGCCTCTCCCCGCCACTGTTACGTCATTGCTGGGCCGACCCTTCCTCCCCATTGAGCCCTCTGTCCTCCTGGCTGAGCAGTGGCTCTAAGTATCTTAACGTTCACTATTACCTCCTGATATGTCGGAAGACCACTTACTGTAAAGTCTCTTATCATCATTAATATTGGAAAACACCATTGTGGGCGACGCCGAGTCACGTGATCTCCCTGTTCATTGACCTCCTCCCAGTTTCGACTCCGCTGGTAACCTGCCGACCGTAATGTCCTCACTGGCCTGTCAATCCTCCCAGGTGAGCTGCCAGCCTCTCCGAAACCGTCATCCTTTCCGCTGATGTATCAGCCCGCCACCCCTCCCCGTGCTGAGCTGGCTCCTCCCCGCTGATCTTGTGTGTCATTGGGGCTTTACGACGCACTCAGCTGCTGAGGCTATATGGCTTCGCCTGCCTCTCACCCTGGCAGGAAGGGCGGGCACCGCGGGGAGTCGAACCCCGTACCTCTGGTTTCCCAGACGCGCAATAGTTAACGCATCCCCTGCTGATCTTCGTACAAGACTCGCTGAAGCGCAGTCGTTTGGTTTGGTTCGGATGGTTTGGTTTCCGCCAATGATGACCGTTCATGGTTATTGGGTGAAGAGGAGAAGTGAGTAGTAGGCAAGACTGTGGCCATGGTGGGAGGCTTCATTTAAGGCGCCTCAACCCGCGCAGCTGCTCTTGTTTGGGGTCCGTGCGCTCGCTCGGTCACTCCCGCCAACACGGCCGAGAAGCCGGCTCATGGCTGACCGCCGCGGCATGTCCCGGGTGGGACCTCATATTGCGAGGGTCCAGGGTGACCTGGTGAATGCGGGAAGCGCGTCGGATGACCGTCAATCCTCGTTTTCGAGCCGCGACTTGCCCCTTCTGAACCTGATTCGTCTGTCAGTGCGACTGACTCCGTTTTCTGTTCTATTACAGCAATGAAGCCGCACGAAATTCAGGAGAAGCTCGGCCTGACGCGTATAAACGACCGCAACTGGTACGTGCAACCGGCCTGCGCCACCACCGGCGACGGACTCTTTGAGGGCCTCGTGTGGCTGACGTCGAATCACAAGTCATGAGTGCGCTCGCTAGATGGCGTGGCCGTTTTTATATAGAAGCGGTGAGAAGAGGCACGGCCTGCGCCTACCGTGGGCGGCCGGACTATGTGCACAAGTGATAGGAGGGACTCTACGCAACCAATGATCAGGGAGTGTGCGTATTTGATTAGTCTTCTGTAGCGCGGCGTTTGTACGGACGAATCCGAATGCGTAGAGCTCCACGCATGCCAAACATCTCCCCGGCGGAGGGTGTCACAGCTTCGCGCGCTTCGTTTATCCTGGGTAGTGGCGTGATTCGTAACTTCGGCCGGCTCAGTTGTTACCTCTGTTATTCGTTGTCGTTATTGTAAATGTGCGTTGCCTCATTGGCTCATGGTGTGATGCGATGCGAATAGTCATTCCAGTCGTAGCCCGGGTGATTGACGCTGACGGCCGAGACGGGCCTTTTGCCCGCTAATGGCTTCTCGTGTAGTGATGTTGGGGCTTTTGGAGAGCTTTATATTGGTTTCCGCGCGGTGCCGGACTGCAGCACTCGGAACGGGGCTTGCCAAACGGACACACGCTCCGCCGGTGCGCGCGGCAGTCAAATGCCGCCTCCCGGTCTTTTATCAGCAACCTGCTCCACACAGGCGCGGGCGGCTAGCGCTGCCTAAGCTCGGTGCTTTTAAGTGGTGGCAGTTTGACTTAAGTTTCCGATTCGCGCTACTCTAACGTGTGACATGCTGCCGGCATCATGACGTCGCTGTTTAGCGGGCGCGGAGTGCTTGACGGTGAGTAGTGTTACTCTTCTTGTATGTAACCAAGTGCTGCCTGGCCGGTGGGGGACGCGGGAGCGTGCCGCAGGTGCTCGGTTCCAGCAGGGCCCGTCCCGCTGGTGAAACAGTTGGCGGCCTCACTGACGACCGCAGCACCCGCTGAGACCGACAAAACCCGGCCCCTGCTGGCAGCTCAGATCAGGGCCTGCCCGCGGGCGGCTCTATATTTTAACCCCGAACGCTTTGTTCTCCAGCGCGACCGAGTGGTAGACAGGCTACCCCGCTTGTGTACCTGGAAGAGGGCTCCCCGGGGTGTGACCGGTCACGTGTGTTCACCGCTGGCCGTGACACCTGCACACGTGGTGCTCCATGCCGCCTGCTATGTATGCCAGCGCTGTTAGTGGAGCCCGCGCGCCGAAAGTCGTTTCTTACCGGGGCTTTGACAGATTTCGCCCCGCATTGTCACGTGGATACGGCACAAAATACAGATCGGGAGAAGGCGCTGCGAATCTGACTGAACGCGCATGGCATGGATTCACACGTGCCCGAGAAACCGGCCCGGCGCAGATTCTTGCCGAGGGTCCGCATCATCGGCAGATGTTTGTCGTTATCACTTATGTATCGATATCGTTTTCAAAAGCGCAGGCGGTCGCTTGTCGGTGTAATACCATTCACTTTTTTCAATTTACGTAGCCTGGAGGGATTCCAACTTGTTGCAGTGAGATACCAATGCAGTTCCTCGTGTGTCCTTGAGTATTATGGCCACGCTGATCGGTGTCCCCATTGATGCCGCTGGCTCGTGTCCGTAGTGGCGTCACTGGCTCACACGACCGATTGGGGCCGGTGCAGCTGGCGCATGCCGAAGCCGGGCTCCTCCTGCGCGCGGACCACCTCTGCCAGGCTGTTGGGCAGCGGGGTGTCGTTGTCGCTCATCTCGGAGATCCGCCGTACCTTCTCCAGCGCCTGTCGGCACCGCGGCGCGTCACACACCGCACCGGAGGCCCGTCGTGTCGGCGCAGCGTTACACACCGCACGGGAGGCCCGTCATGTCGGCGCCGCATCGCGTCACACACTGCACCTGAGGCCCGTCATGTCGCGTTGCATCGCACACCGCACAGGAGGCCCGTCATGTTGGCCGCCGCGCGCGTCACGCACCGCGCCGGAGGCCCGTCATGTCGGCGCAGCGTTACACACCGCACGGGAGGCCCGTCATGTCGGCGCAGCGTCACACCGCACCGGAGGCCCGTCATGTCGGCGCAGCGTTACACACCGCACGGGAGGCCCGTCATGTCGGCGCGCATCGCGTCACACACTGCACCTGAGGTCCGTCATGTCGGCGCAGCGTTACACACCGCACGGGAGGCCCGTCATGTCGGCGCCGCATCGCGTCACACACTGCACCTGAGGCCCGTCATGTCGGCGCGGCGCCTGGAAGGGGCGTGGAACTGGCTACCAACTTTCATTCGCTTGTTTTCTGTGTGCGGGGACGGGAGATACTCTGCCCGGACAGGTATGGACTATGGATGTTTAAAAATGGTCAGGGTCCCTGAAAAGGGTTTTACTGAACGGAGGTATGCCTTACTATTATAAATCGTTGGCTTCAACAGGCAGGGTTCCCTAACATGAAGCTCTCAAGCAATCTGGCTTGCTGCTGGCATATACGTAAAATTACTTGGTCGACGGTGCAGTGACACGATAACATCGATGCTTAAGGCTATAATGTTTTAATAATTTCTAGGTTATTGGCACTCTCTTTACTAACACGTTTTGACGATGCTTCTGACTACAACCCATCCTCCAATTTCAAACCCGGTCCCTCGCAGAACTGTGCCGGCGAAACCTGAATGCCCGAACTTGTTCCCTGCTAGCTGTCTTGCATGGAACTATGGCAGGTAGCCCGAGGGATGGGGGTAAAACAGAGGCCTTCTGCCATTTGCCCGCTCACTGCTTCGTCCACATCCCCGCGACGTCCCGTTTATCCGGGGTAAGCTGTAACATCAGTCTTGAAGGAGCTGAAATGCTCTTGTTGGGAACCCTGCCCGAGCGCCCACACACGGCCCAAAGAAGGTTTCGTCCACCACCGCGACATGTCCTGTGCTGGGCATGTCTTGGTGGCGGACGACACCCAGTTGCAAGCAGTCTTCTCCCACCTCTTTCCACTCCCCTTTATCCCATAGTCTTGAAAGGATCAGTGCTGGTCAATACGCCTCTTATCCTGACTCAGCAAACAAAAGATCTCAGGGGGCGTTCTCGAAGGCCATTAGACATTGTCAAGGCGTCCCACTCAACGAACTTTCGATCAGACTCGGGAGTCGCGTTGTCGACGTGAAGTACGAAATGTACTGGAGATTGGTGAGCAAGGGGAGCGAGAAGCATCGCTTCTGACGGGCGTCTGCGAAGACCAGTCGAACTTACATGGAGATAGCAGAAGTCGCTCTCGGCGGCCTTGTGCCTCTCCAGGAACTGCTGCAGGTAGCGGCGGAAGGCCGTGCTGACCCGCTGGCGGTTGGGCGGCGGCACGTAGCCGAAGTAGTAACGGTCCGTCACTCGCTTCTTCTTGGGCTTCAGCACCATCTCTGCCGGGACGCTATTTTTGGTCAGTCAGGTCGTTGGGACATTGAAGTCTTGAAAGCAGCAGTGTTATTTTTGGTCAGGCAGGTCGTCAGTCAGGTCTGTGCAATATTGAACATGCGGCAACTGTGGGCTGCAAGACATGCTGCGTGGCGGTGCATCCTTGTGGGCAGGGACGACCAGGCACCTTACGATAAACATGCGTAACATTTGTATTTGGGTTCTGGGCGTCACCTCAGCAGTAAAGCGTTAGAAAAGCTTTATGATGCATGATTATCACGTGAGGCTAGAAGCACAGCTGAGTTACTTCTGGTGAACTTTTCCCGTACATCCTTTGGTTCCCGATATTGGCCGTGGTGAATATGCTGGTGACAGCCTCCGCACGGCCTCTAGGTGGTCGGTGCCAAAACTTGTCACATGACCGCACCCGTGCTGCTTCCGCGGGCTAAATCCACCTGAAAGCCCGGTTTGCCTTCGACGGCGGCATCTGCGCCTCACTGGTGCCGAGCAGCAAGAGCAGCGCCGCGAGATCAGCGCGCTGTTCGCGGCATTCCCGTTTGCGTCGATCACGCGGCGTCCTGGTTCGCGGTGTCGCCGTTAGAGGTCAGGAGAGATCTGCACCGACCTGCCAGGAGAGTGGATGGCAGGAGGGGTCTGCCCCGATCCGTCAGGAGAGAGGATGGCAGGAGAGGTCTGCACCGATCTGCCTGGAGAGCGGAGGGCAGATGAGGTCTGCATCGACCTGCCAAGAGAGCGGAGGGCAGGAGAGGTCTGCACCGACCTGCCAGGAGAGAGGAGGGCAGGAGACGGCCGCTGTAGTCGTGCAGTGGCGCCGCCAGCCCCTTCAGGCGCAGCTTCTCGATAATGGAGGCCGCCACGAACTCGTTTAGCTGCGGGCAGAAGTGAGGCCAGGACGCGGCAGCAGCCACTCTGCCTGGGTGTCCATGCGCTGTCTGTGCACTGCCACCTATATGACCCGATACTGGCTGGCTGTCACGCTCAGTAGAATTCATAAGGTATAGTTTAATGTCTGCTCCAAAATTTGGTGCCATCCGACCTTTTTCTTAACGCAGAGCTTTATCCTTCATCCCTGATTTCCGGAACAAGCTGCAAGAATCGGACGAGGTGTAAGTTCCGTCCTGACGGGAGCACCGCCGAAGCTTCCACTCCTAGCCAAAGATGGTTTCCTGTGCAGGGAAGTACCTGGGATGGCTCTAGATGTAATCAGTCTTGTCCCAACATTCTCTCCACTCACCTTCATCGCACCGCCCTGAAACGTTTAGTGATGGCCGATGGAGCTCTAATCCAAACATGCTGAACCAAAATCAGCAGTGAAGTCCCCTCTCCTCCGAAAAAGGTGTTGGGTACGGAAGTTTTTTACTTTCATTAATTTCCTGCGATGCCATAGACCTTATGCTAGCTCTCAAAGGTGTGGATTCAGTTGTATCCCAAATAAACAACAACGTTCCCATGCCCGCGATGGCGACGATTCCCTATTCCATCAACGGCGATTATTAGGTAAACATCTTGGGAGAAAAGGCAGAACTACCTTCAACGTAGTGCAACGGTATCCATCCCAGGTGGAAACAGATACGATACCCCACCATTGCGGCTTTCAAATTGTTCAGACGAGATTGTCTTCTACTGACAACGCACTAAAGCCCCTCCGCCGTAAGTTGGCGTTCATCGCCGGCATTTCTTTCCGCAGTGACCAAGTACCGAGGTTTGCCCGGGACTCACCTTTGGATTGATTCGCATGAACTCGGGGTACTGTCCTGGTCCCCTGGCCGTGAGCGCTCGGTTCCGCCGTGCGGCGGGTGCAGCGAAGCAGTCGTGCGCCCCCGTACGGCGCTTCTCACAGGGCATGGGGCGCTGCGACCGAGCACTTCCGCTGTGAGGCGTGGCCGTCGGCAGGTGACGCCTCAGCACGTCAGGATATCCCACGGTCAGAGCAATTCTCTGATAGAGGATACTAGGCCCGGGAAAACCATGCAGCCTCGTCCTCGTCCGCGTCAGCCAGGCATGTGAAACAGCATGTAGCCAGAAAGGGCTGCGGAGCAGGTCATACAGGGTCGCCCGCCCCCGCGAAATTGAATTGTTAGGTCTCGGGCTCGCACATCTGTACGTCACGACCCACGTACCTTGCCAGCCAGACTGATGTCGACGGTGTGCCAATGCGGAACGGACCCAGGATGAACCAGATTTTGCCTGCCGTCCGGATCTGCCACCACGCTGGTGAGTCGGTTTAGTTTGCCCGTATTGATTTGTTCCTTATACAGACGTGCAGTCAGGCTGGAGTTGTCCGTCCTGCTGTGCTTGGGGCTCTCACCCGTCTGAGACGTGGAAACCTTTTCCAACGACCGCTTTGGGGAAGACGTTGCCGATTGCTGCACCTGAGGGCCGTCGTCGGCATGGGCAGACGTGGAAGACTTCGTCTCCACGGGCGGATCGGTTGACGACTTCGCGGGTGATTGCTCCTGAAGGATATTACCGTCAGAGGCATGCATGGAGCCCTCCGCGGGAAGCTCGGTTGAAGATTTCACTGATGGTTGCGCTTGAGGGACATTGTCGCTGGATGCAGAAGCAGGAGCCTCCCCCACGGGCACCTCGGCTGAGGATATCACTGATGTTTGCTTCTGAGGGGCGTCGTCGCTTGACGCGGAGGCAGAAGCTTTTTCCACGGGCAGTTTGGTTGAAGACTTTACTGCTGGCTGCTGCTGGGGGGCATCTTCGCTTGAGGCAGAGGTGGAAGCCTTTTCCGCGGGCGATTTTGTTGAAGACCTCGCTGATGGTTCGGCCTGAACGGCATCGTCGCCAGAGGAAGACGCGGAAGCCTTCTCCACCGGCAATTTGGTTGAAGATGTTACTGATGGCTGTTTCTGAGGGGCACCGTCGCTAGAAGAAGAGGTGGAGGCCTTTTCCACCGGCAATTTAGTTGAAGATGTTACTGATGGCTGTTTCTGAGGGGCATCGTCGCTAGAAGAAGAGGTGGAGGCCTTTTCCACGGGCAATTTAGTTGAAGATGTTACTGATGGCTGTTTCTGAGAGGCATCGTCGCTAGAAGAAGAGGTGGAGGCCTTTTCCACTGGCAATTTAGTTGAAGATGTTACTGGTGACTGTTTCTGAGGGGGATCGTCGCTAGAGGAAGATGTGGAGGCCTTCTCCACAGGCAATTTGGTTGAAAATGTTACTGATGGTTGCTTCTGGGGGGCACCATCGCTGGGGGAAGACATGGAGGCCTTCTCCACGGGCAGTGTTGTTGAGGACTTCGTTGATGGTTGGGCCTGAGCAGTGTCGCCGCTAGAGGCAGTCGTTGAAGACTTCTCTTCGGGCAGCTTGGCTACAGGATCTGTTTGTGCCTCTCCTTGGGTGGTGTTGTCGGTAGACGCCGCGGGCCTGCTGGTTGCGTCTGCCTCGGGTTGAACACTTCCATCATTCCCGGATTCCACGTCCGCACCGGCCATTGCAAAGACAAAGCTAAATCTTGTGTAGTAGTATTTGATCTAAAAACGTTCTTTCCATTAGTCTCTGTGACGAATCATTTGTATGCGTTATTTTGGGGCTGGTAGTTAATGTTCAAATGTTCACCGAGGAACAACCATGCCCGGCCCATTCATGTCACTGCCTTATCAAGTCATGGTTAAGATTCAGTGCAGAGATAAAACAAAATCTACTGGTGTTATACCATTCAGTTAATTCATAGCACGGAGCTGACGGTTAAGTTGCTATAGGGCCTTGCGGTTAAGGCAACCTTATGTTTTGATTTATAAAAATGAAATACCACGTGCATTGGGCCAGTCAGTATCCGCCCATTTTGGACTGTAGGCTATCCACATGTCGGTGGTTAGGCATTTTAGTTTCTGAATGTAGAATTTGATGTAGAGGCGGTCTGCTGAACTCGGGCTACTCCCACCCAGCGCCGGCGCTCTGTACACATAGGCGTGGGCACCAGGGTGGTTGGGCAGGCCTTAAGGATGTTACACAGATGCTCGTGAATTCTTCACACTTATTGTCTTATAATTAATGTTACACCTCCACGAATAGTTGGAGTCTCCCCGCCCTCCTGCTCACATGCTTGTCTTGGAGGCCAGATTCTTCCAACCTTTGGATATATGTTGCATTAGGTCTATGATGGTGCATGAGAGACAAAATGGACCCGATTCTCCCCTTAAATTTCGGAATAAGCGCCGGATGGTTTTCTTCATATATGTCTATAGCTTTGGTGACACTAAATGTTGTTTCACACTTTTGTCTTTTGCTCAGACTGTCAGCTGTACGTCTATGGTAAGTTTTACGAAGGGTAGCGGCATAATCTGCAGGATGAGATAAATAGAACACGTAGAGCATTAAGTTGAAGGTCGCGGAAAGCAGAAGTAGGGGACATGTGCGTAATAAAGAATTGCATGTGGGTTCCAGCACTGTCAGCAACTGATCGACCAGTTGTGAAGTCAGCTGCGTCTCAAGGTTAGGGAAGGTAAGTCTATTATGATGGTCTGTCGTGCCAAAGTCACGTGTATATGACGAAACGACGCTATCAAGTCCAAAAATGAATTAAAACAGACAGAACGCTTTAGAAAGGCGCATGCTATGAAAATTCCAAGGTGGAGATCAGCCTGGGTAAGTGACCTATGACAAGCCTTCGAGTAAGTGTCACCTGTGGGCAAAAGGGCAACACTGCCAAGTCCAAGATAGTTCGAATGCACACAAAACGCAGCTTAAGAGCATACCACTTAAGATTGGCAGTAAAGACAATCTTTGGTCAGGGGCCTACACTGTAAGTTGATGATCGGTAAGTGACAGTTTTGTACAGAAAAGTTAACTACACAAAAACGTAACAACAGCGAAACGTATCGTTGACGAATAAGCCACGTTTCACTCCAGCATGACCAGATTAAAACCTTTCTAAGACATTGACCTGGCAAGACATGAACACCCAAGTTCCACAAGACCCAAAAATTGATCTGCGGTAACGTACTGAATCAAGAGGATGGGTGACGAGTTATGCGATTGGCTGGACAAGACAAAAGACGACATGAAGAAGTGTGAAACACGGCGGAGCGGGGCCCCGGTGTGCGCGGCATTCGTCCCATGTCCAAGTGGCAAGGGTCAAGTGCATCCCGATGCGAACGCGTCCCAGCATTGTTTCCTTCAGACGAGTGTTTTGATGTGATGTTACCATTGAAATGGCGCGGGCCCATTGGGGGGGGGGGGGAGATGTAAATGTACAGGGATGTAGTTTAGCAGAATAAGTTTGGGGGCAGGAGGAAAAATGACTTAAGCTGTTCACACAATGTTTTTAAAACACGGGTTTATCTCTGGATTAAATTTTTCATCTCAAAGTTGGAGTTGGAGCCTCACCCCAACCGGAAAGGAACCACACGCCTTTGACTGGGGCCCCACATCTCATAGATGTTGTCAGCAATGCCAGAGACCAGTGTTTTATTCACACAGATATCTGCAATACCAGAGAAAATATTCCAAGGATACAATTACATAAAGTGTGAGGTGTCGATGTGGCGATGTTTTTGACTTAACCAATGTTTAAATATGAGGAGGATCAGTGGAATGACCTGTTGTGTTTTGATAGGTTTGGTATATCTGATGACATTCAAATAAGCATTAGTTTGTTAGTGCGGACAAATAGACATTGGGTGACACAAAAATGGAGCGAAATTTGTGAAGGCTTATCGATAAAGACGTCAATCTCGCTGTTAGAAACGTTTCAGGGAAGCACGTTTTTTTACGAGAACACGCTATTTTTATCCAGTTCCCACTTAAATGGCATAGCCTTGACGAAATCATGCTGTTACATGATGGTGTATGTATAAACACATAACCATGCATCGTATCATTTATCAGGCAAACCGCCCACATTTACCGCCGCATATAAACCGCATATTTTAACTGCAGACGGTGTCTTATAAAAACGACAGTGTATTACTAAACGTAATCGCTCATTGGCTCACCAAACTTCAACTCGAAGGCTCGTCTGCTGACACAAGCGCTGCTTGCAAGAGCTTGTAATGGTGTTTTGCGTCTTCTTCTTTTGCGTCTTTTGCGTCAGTGCCGTTTCTGCCCACTGAGAGTGTTTTTGCAATGCATGCTGCTGTGACGTCACCACTTTGTCGCGCGCATCGACCCAGTGACATCAAAGCCATTTGTCTGAAGGTCACTGGGACCCAGAATGCAGAAAAAGGTAAGCTGCAGTGTGTTGTTGCATGTGAAAGGCATCTCCAGCTTGGTTACTTTCACTGCGGCTGGCGCGGGGTTGTGTAGTAGAAAGCACAATGCTTGCGCACGCTTTTAAACTCGGAGAAACGAGTAGCCATCCATGCAGAAGTAATATGGTATACTACAAGTCAGACGTAGTGACTTCTCAGTTAGTTAGCCACACGTAAGATGTCGACTTGTATCATTTTGTGAGGGCCCTGCTCGCACCCCACGTCGATTTGCCCCAGTTTCTCCTTGTACCAGTTTCCAGCAGTTAATGTCTCACCCACGCCTTCTGCTGCAAGTAATGCCGTTTTATTTGCAGGTGCATCGTTAACGGAGGCGGAAAATGTCCATGAAATGTTGGCGATAACGGTACGTATGCGAGGCAGCGAGTTGAAGGGCTGTCGAAGCATCTGAATTCGGCCGGCGTGATTCGTTGTCATCATCTTAAAGTCCGTAACGTTATTCAGGTAACCGTCGTTATCATCTTAAAGTCGCAACGGTATTCAGGTAACCGTCGTTAATCATCTTAAAGTCGTAGCGGTATTCAGGTAACTGTCGTTATCATCTTAAAGTCGTAACGGTATTCAGGGTAACCGTCATTATCATCTTAAAGTCGTAACGGTATTCAGGTAACCGTCGTTATCATCTTAAAGTCGTAACGGTATTCAGGTAATCGTCGTCATCATCTTAAAGTCGTTAACGGTATTCAGGTAACCGTCGTTATCATCTTAAAGTCGTAACGGTATTCAGGTAACGTCGTTATCATCTTAAAGTCGTAAACGGTATTCAGGTAACCGTCGTTATCATCTTAAAGTCGTAACGGGATTCAGGTAACCGTCGTTGCTATCTTAAAGTCGTAACGGTATTCAGGTAACCGTCGTTGTCATCTTAAAGTCGTACGGGATTCAGGTAACCGTCGTTATCATCTTAAAGTCGTAACGGGATTCAGGTAACCGTCGTTATCATCTTAAAGTCGTAACGGGATTCAGGTAACCGTCGTTATCATCTTAAAGTCGTAACGGGATTCAGGTAACCGTCGTTATCATCTTAAGAGTCGTAACGGGATTCCGGTGATGCTCATCAAAGCCGATGCCGAATTGGAGGCATAATCGATGAGCCCAGCCAGGAGCACTATGACAAACCACCACACGCTCATGACCGAGAGCGCGTTAAATAGCGTGGCTGGCACAACGGATGCCAGCTGAAGAGTGTCGTGCACCTGTTTTTGCGTGGTCGCGAGCCGCAACCCGCATGGTACCCATCAGCCACCTTCACGCCAGTGGTGGCGCGGCAGGGAGAAAAGGGAGCAAAATGATATTTTGTCCCCTCAAAATTTTGGGAGGGTTCTTTTCTGAGCCGCTGGTTCTAAAGCCACAACAATTTACCAAAATTCAGGTCAAGGAGTCTCCTTGTCTGGGCTAGGAAGTACCGAATCGGGATCAGAAAGCACTTTTCTGGATCAAGAGACCCGCATTCTGGACCAAGAGGCCCTATTTTGTGTTAAGGAGACCCCTCGCTGGTTCAGGAGGTCTCCGCAACCAGCTGGAGGTTTGCTGCTCTGGATTAGGAGGCATCTTCTATATTGAGTGAGGTTCTTTTCCAGACCAGGAGACTTCAATTCTAAACCAGGAGGATCCCACTAAACCAAGAGACCGCACCGCATGTGTCACAGGGCGGTTACTCCCGATCAGGACGGCCTGTTTTGGGATGATGAAACCTGTGCTAGATTCAGAGCTCCCTTCTATCAATCGGAAAGTCCCCGTTCTGGATTTGGGGTCGTCTCTGTCAATCAGAAGGATCCTGTTCTGGATAAGAAGGCTCCTCTATGCATCAAAAGCCCCTTTTATGGGGTTCTGTGACAAACTGCTACAACACAAACTTCTACCGACAAAAATGTTATGGCATTACTTCTATTGCAAATACCGTTACTTACACACAACATCACTGGTTCCAAAACATACGTGACATTAGTGCTACGCGACAAAATTTACGCTTCAAAAACCTTACTTGTCATTACCTGCATTGCAAAAACGTTTACAGCCACTGCTTACACGGCATTGCTTCTACTGCAATGACTTTTACGCGGCATGAATGTTACACGCCAAAAGTTATACTTTCAAACCGTCTTACTGTCATCATTTTTACTCCTAAAAGTTGTACAGGCTTTACGTATGCGTAACATTATCTCTACTGCTAATACTTGTCATGGACGGTCAAATGGGTGCACATCTGGCCGGGGTGAAAGAACAGTTCACAGGCTAGGAGGGAACCCTACTTGGGTAGAACTGCGATTGAATGTACCTGGT